AGCCTCATCAGCCTCAGCCTCAGCCTGCTCCTGCCTCAGCCTCAGCTCAGCCTTCAGCCTGCCTCGGCCTCAGCCTGCCTAGCCTCAGCCTCAGCCTCAGCCTCAGCCTGCAGCCTCAGCCTCAGCCTGCCTCAGCCTCAGCCTGCCTCAGCCTCAGCCTGCCTCAGCCTCAGCCTGCCTCAGCCTGCCTCAGCCTCAGCCTCAGCCTCAGCCTCAGCCTCAGCCTGCCTCAGCCTCAGCCTCAGCCTGCCTCAGCCTCAGCCTCAGCCTCAGCCTCAGCCTCAGCCTCAGCCTGCCTCAGCATCAGCCTCAGCCTCAGCCTCAGCCTGCCTCAGCTCAGCCTCAGCCTTCAGCCTCAGCCTCAGTCTGCCTTCAGCCTCGGCCTCAGCCTCAGCCTCAGCCTGCCTCAGCCTGCAGCGTCAGCTCTCAGCCTCAGCCTGCTCAGCTCAGCAGGCTCAGCATGCCTCAGCCTCAGCCTCAGCCTCAGCCTCAGCCTCGGCCTCAGCCTGCGTCAGCCTCAGCCTCAGCCTGCCTCAGCCTCAGCCTGCCTCAGCCTCAGCCTCAGCCTGCCTCGGCGTGCCTCAGCCTCAGCCTCAGCCTGCCTCGGCCTCAGCCTGCCTCGGCCTCAGCCTGCCTCAGCTCGGGCATTCAAAATATGGCACAGGACTGGTGTTCTGGGAACACGAAGATCACGAAGTGGCCCACAGTTGGCTCCGGGCAATCAAAATATGGTACAGGAACGGTGCTCCGGGAACACGAAGAACAGGAAGTGGCCTACAGTTGGCGCTGGGCATTCAAAATGTGGCCTGGGAATGATGTTCTGGGAACACGAAGAACACAAAATGGCCTACAGTTGGCTCCGGGCATTCAAAATGTGGCCTGGGATTGGTGTTCTGGAAAGACGAAGAACACAAAGTGGCCTACAGTTGGCTCTGGGCATTCAAAATGTGGCCTGGGAGTGGTGTTCTGGGAACACGAAGAACACGAAGTGGCCTACAGTTGGCTCCGGGAATTCAAAATGTGGCCTGGGATTGGTGTTATGGAAATGGATTCCTAAGGATTCCCACAGAATTCCTAAGGATTCCTAAGGATTCCTGGGGCTGCATTTTTGTCCAGCTCTTTGTCCGGATCTGTCCGGATCCCGCCCAGACCCCCCTGGGGCGTCAAGATGCTCTCTTTCGATTCCACTAGAAACCTATCAGCAAAAGCTGTTAGGTAATAACCACAAACCGAACAGCAACAACAGCAACAACAACAACAGAAGCATTCGCAACAACAGCAACAGCAACAGCAACAGCAACAGCAACAGCAACAACAACAACAACAGCAACAACAGCAATAGCAGCAGCAACATGTTTTCTTTGACGCCCCACGTCCCCCACCGTGGCATTCGCTCTGTGCAGGAAGACCAACTCCTCATCCGAATTCTGTACGGTTTCACGCGCTTGTGGCGCCACGTATGCCTTGCAGAGAGACGTGCGTGTATCTGTAATGATCCGCTCTGCGAGGCCAGTTAGATGCATCCAATGAAAAAGAAACACACGCGAACTGCCAGAGTCGAGCTGACCAGACATCGAGACTCGACTCTATCGGCGCCCTTGGGGTTGATTGGCACAGGCAGCACAGCACAGCAGGCCATTGACCGCAGCCAGCAATTCAGCTGGAACTGAGCACAGCAGATAAGGGAGCGCAGCATGCAGCTGAATAATTGAGCACCGCTGGATACCTGAGCACGAATGCGCTCAACATCTGTTTACCCTGCTCAGACAACAGACGAAGAACTGGTTGCAAGTGCCGAGATTTTGCGCCAGAATGCCCAGATGACGCCTATTTTCGCCGCTTTCGACAGCAACACGAAGGCGATTATCACAACGTGACCCAGCCTTCCAGAGCCAGACGAAGACGGCGCGTCGCCCAAAGAATAGCACTCCATGGCCACGTATGTGCAGAACGTTAACGTATTTGTCAGCAGGTTTACGTTCACGGTGTTCACCAGCTGCTCGGAGGAGGTACTGCCCTTGTTGAAGGATGGAATAGCCGAGCACGAGAGCCTGCCGAATAGGACGCCGTCGAGGAAGAAGAGAAGCGAGACTACAGCAGTTACGATCCGCAGGAGGCCCCAGTCACCGTTGATGTCCCAGACGCTCATGTCATCGCCAGTAACATTGCCAAGTGCCTTGGCGCCATACAGAGCCCCCAATACAAAATCGTAGATGGTAAAGCAGCGAAAGCGACCCTGGTACTCCTCGATTGAGGTATCCTCGGCATTGCATATGATCTTGAGGTTCTTCCGAATCATCTTTCTTGAGCGGGTGGGCACAGGCGGCAAATGCCCTTCGAAAATATCGCACTGAATCTGCCTTTTTTGAGCCAAAATGGCTTGCGACAACAGGGCCCCGCGCGATACGACCCCAACCAACAGGGTTCCACCAGACAGAGTCCTACCCCAGAGTGGCGCACGCGATTGGACCCAAACCCATGAATTCCTAACGATGCAGTGCTACCCGTAAAGGCACATGCATTTGATGATCACTGGTTGGTGTGCACGCGTGGGCATCATGAGCACAAGTACGGACCGAAGGCAAGCGAAGCATTATCGTGGGAAGCACTGCACGGGTACGGATGCACATTCTGGAACTCGATTGATTCCTGGCAGAAGCGAATGGAAAGATCATGGCGCGAGCGAAGAAGAACCAATTTGGAAGACAAGCGAATCGGGATGCGCACCCCTGAGAAGAATCTTGTAAGTCCGCCGACCCTGTCGGCTGTGTCGGCGTGTGCAAAGGCTTGTTTCGGTTTGAGCTTTCACGCGTTCCCTGTGGCCAGCTCGGGCCATGATCAGGCGCACCAGCCCAAGGGAAGAAATCGAGCCCTGTCGCAATACATCGTTATCACGACAGCCAAAAGCCCCTTCCCTCCTGATCCCACCCCCGCTGGATAAGAGGTCTTGGGGCGGTCCTAGGGGGCTGGTCCTGGAGCCCCATCCCCCCAGAGCGACTCACGCGATCTTTCGGGCCAGAGTGCCCTCCTATGGGCCACCGAGACGCCCGCTAGAGCCCTCTGGCGAAGCTCGGCAAGCTGCGGCACTCCTGGGGGTCTCCTGGGCCGTCTTGGTGACCATGCGGGCCATCCAGTTTGCATCCTGGTTCTTGTCGCGACGCTCACATTCTCAACGTGTCAGTGCCAAGGAGGCATCTGTGTAATAAAAAGATAATAACAATACTGATACAAGGAACATACGAATAGTCATGGTAAAACAACCAACAAGAATCCGAATAATAGGCATGATGGTAACAATGACAATAGTTCTCTGATTAATACATACGAAAAGACGAATTGATAACATTAGCAATAAAGGGTAAGCGAAATCAGAATCATCGATAGCACACGCAAGAACAAACAGAAGCCATGATAGCAATGATACAAACGTAATGCTAATACAATTAATAACAATGATAAGGTTGCTAGCCATAATGATACGAATGAAAATAATGATAAACATCATCATCAGCAACATCGTCATCAACACCAGCATCATCAGCAGCAGCAGCATCATCAGCATCAGCAGCAGCAGCAGCATCAGCAGCAGCAGCATCAGCAGCATCATCAGCATCATCATCATCAGCAGCAGCATCATCAGCATCAGCATCAGCATCAGCATCATCATCATCAGCATCATCATCATCATCATCATCAGCATCATCATCATCATCATCACCACAACCACCACCACCATCATCATCATCATCATCATCAGGATCAGCATCATCACCATCATCACCACTGCCACCACCACCATCAGCATCAGCATCAGCAGCAGCAGCAACAACATATCATCATCATCATCATCATCATCATCATCATCATCATCATCATCACCACCAACACCACCACCACCACCACCATCATCATCATCAGCATCAGCATCAGCATCATCATCATCATCATCATCATCATCATCATCATCAGCATCATCATCATCATCATCATCCAACACAAGTCCCGAACAGGCCCCGAACGAAGCGGCGCCCCAAGAGGCCCACGGCCGGCCGCCGAGAAGCCCTCGAAGACTCCAAAAATGCCTCCACGAGGCCTCCCAGAACCCTACACGAGGCATCCCACGAGGCCTCCCACGAGGCCACCCAGTATTCGGCCTGACCTAAGGAACGATAAATAAGGAACGAAGCCCCCTTCTGTCCCGAGGAAGTCCACGAAGCCCGAAGGTAAACACCAGGGGGGGCTCGCCGCCAAAGAGGTAGCGGAGCGCGTGCAAGCCACAGGAACGACCGAGCCCCGTTTGCAAAGCAAGTGTTCCTCTTATGCAAGCCGGACCCCGCACGCGTTGTGAAACAAAACACGGCGGGGAGTGTGTTGGCTCAATTCGGCCTCTGGGGGCCCTTACCGGCCCCCTGGGAGTCCTCCTGAGAGTCGAGGGCGGCGACGGGGGCGAGCAGCCCAGGGGGAGAGCACCACGCGCGTGCATCCAGGGGCGCCGACGGCCCACGTCTTCGGCGGGGCTCCCGCAGGGCTTCCGCGCCCGGCCCGCCCCCGGCCTGCTCGCCCTCCTCTCGGCGTGCCAGCTCTGGGAGGGAGGCGGAGAGGGGGCGGGCCTCCCCCGCCGCCGTGGCTCGGCAGTCCTCCGGCCCTCCGAGACGTTTTCTCGTGAGCCTTCCCCGAGCACACAGAGCACGGCGCGGGGGCTTCTGGGGAGCCCCGCCGCCTTCTGAGAGAGGGCCTCCTCCTGCTCGCCTTCCCCCTGGGGCGCGCCGCCGACCTCTGGTCCTTGGGTCGTAACTCGGCTCTCCGGCGGCCGTTCGGGACGATCCCGGCACCCCTGGAATGCGCTCGCCGAGGCACAGCCGCTGGGACGCATCCCGAGGCTGGGAAGCCGTCGAGGACCGACGAAAACTTCGGCAAACCTCGAGCCTCGGATCTCGAACCCCCTCGCTCGCCGCCGACGAGCGTCGCCTTCTGAAAAAAGGGCCTGCGCGGCAGGTCTTCTGGCCCACAGGCCCAGAGGCGGTCGGCCCACGCGGTGCCCGGAAGGCACACGTCCGTTTTTCGCCCCCGGCGGCGCGGCGCGCGGCCGCCCGAGCTCGGCCCCAGAGAGGCCGAGCGGCGGCCGTGGCGCCCACGTCGTGGCTTTGCCCACGGCGCGGCGCGGCGCAGCCCGTGGCGCGCCCGTGCTGCCGGCGGGGTGGTGCGCATCGGCTCGAGTAGGGGATCGACCAGTTGCAGGCATGACCTGCCCCAGGCTTGAACTTCTCCTCGAGTCTGCGTCAAATGGTGCAGAAAGCCCCGTGGATCTGCCAAAACATTCGAAGTGCAGCCTGCGCAGACTCGACGCAGAGTTCAGTCTTCGGGGGTAATCAACTGTGGAACTCGACGATGCCCCACTCGAATTGAGCATCGTTGAACCGATCCCTGTCCCCACTGGCACGGCCTTGGCCCCGCCCGATTTGCCCCTCGGAATTGGGGGATATGGGCGGCTCCCTCGAGGCTTCGAGTGCCTGCACCCGATGTACACCCTGCGAAATGCTTAAGAAATCATGGGTTAAGAAATTCATAGTCTAAGAACTTGACTAAAAACCCAAAATTTCTATTTAAATCTTAGGATTTACGTTGAATCTTTAAGAATAATCGAGACCCTGGCCGAAAATTTAAGCTTTCTTAAGCATCGCCTGAGGTGTATCCCCCTACCAGGGTTCTGAGATGGTGGGGCTCAGATGCCACAGCCTGGTGCCATTGCACCCACCTTGCAGACGTGCTGCAGCGGATTTTTGCGCGGGTTCCAGCCCATGCAAAATTCGAAAACGGCGAGCGGAAAACGACGTGCATTTAATCCGCACGGAATTCACTTCGAAATCCAGAATGATATTCTCCAGGACAATCAGAGCCCACCCCAGCAGCTCCGACCGAAATCCGCTCTGCGATGTTGGCGCCATGACTAGTGGGGATAGGGATACATCGGGGATGGACAGAACCCTCTTTAACAAAGCGGGGTTGTGAAAGCGACCTCGGGCCCGAACCTGGCGGGCGCAAGCCTGGAAAATGACGGCCGCGGCGCCCTCTCGAGAACCGAAAACGGACAATTCACTAATCGACGTGTCGGGGTGTGGGCTCTGTCCACCCCCGAATGCACAGGTCAGACGATACCGAGGCATCGCGACTACGCCTGGCTGCCGGACACGCCAGACATCCCGCGCTCGGCCTCCGCGATGGCCTTCGCCGCCGGCACCCGAGCCCCGGCGCCCTGCGACTCGTCGCCGAGGCGCTGCAGCGGCAGGCTTAGGCTGCCAGAGGTCTGGAGCTCCTTGTCCTTTGAGGGGCCCCAGGGGCACACGAAGAAGTACACACAGATCCCAGGATCCTCCGTATATCCCCATAGTTTCTTGACTTACGTCATCCCACCCACTTCCCATATCCAGAAGCCTCCTATATGGGGTCGGAGTAGATGGGGTCGGAGGAGCTCACCGCATCGCCGATACACCGGCGATGCATCGCCGATGCATCGCCGATGCATCGCCGATGCATTGGCGATGCACTGGCGACGTCGGCGATGCATCGGCAACGTGGGCGTGGAGAAAATCGGGCCCCACACCGAGCCGCATCGCCGATGCATCGCCGATGCATCGGCGATGCGGCGCGATCCTCCGACCCCATCTACTCCGACCCCATCTAGAAGGCCTAGAATCTCTTTCCGTAGTTTCCTGGGAACTCTCACAACCGACAATTCTTTATGTCTGTGTGTGAGTGCGTGTTGCCCCTCCTGGTCCTTGTAGATCCCGACGATGGAGTCGCTATGCGAGAAGAAGGTGTCCTATCTGGCGGGGCCACAGGGATCGGCGGCGAGCCAGGGAGAATAAAACAAAGGTGATAAGGCGCGGGCCTTCTCGGAAGGCTCGGACGTCCCCCGGCTTCCTCCTCCTCCTCCTCCTCCCTCCTCCTCCTCCTCCTCCTCCTCCTCCTCCTCCTCTCCTCCTCCTCCACCTCTCCTCCTCCTCCTCCTCCCCCTCCTCCTCCTCTCCTCCTCCTCCTCCTCTCATCCTCCTCCTCATCCTCATCCTCATCCTTCTCCTCCTTCTCCTCCTCCTCCTCCTCTTTCTCCTCCTCCTCCTCCGGGGGGGGGGGAAGTGAGAAGAGGCGGGCCATCTCAGAAGGCTCGGAAGTCCCCCCGCCTTCTGAGAAATTTGCTGCTCCAAATCCCCTATGAATCGACCCACCCTAAAAAACCAAACCCCCCTCCAAATGCGACCTAACATTTCGGACCCCCCCCCTTCAACGGGGCGCCTTCATAAACCGCACCCCTTAAGCTCCAATCCACAGAAAGCGCCCTAATAAACCGGACCCCCCCAGTCCAAAAAGGGCGCCCTAAAAAACCGGACGCGGGGGCCGATTAATGAGGCGTTTGGAGTAAGCTGTCCCCGAAGACACCCAAAACTTCTCACAGGGCCGCGGGCGCTCGTGAGGAGGTCCACCGCCCGTGCGCGAAGGAGGCGCCCTCTCCTTCAGCATGGGGGAGGCGGGTCCCGAGGGCACCGGGTCCTGGACACCGGAGCGGGTCCCGAGTCAGGGAGGCGGGTCCCGGACGCCCGAGCCTTCCAGAGCGGTGTCCCGAGGGTCCCGCGGCCCGCGGAGGGCCCCGAGGGGCCCGAGCGCGGCGAGAAGCCTCAGGGCCCGTGCCCCTCAGGGCCCATCTCCCCCACGGCGACCCTCTGGCGGGGCCAGGGAGCATCCCTCGGGCGCGAGCTCGTGGAGGGGCGATGCACGACGGGGGGGGGGGAGCAAGGTGCCCTCTTCGGGCCCCGAAGGCCCCCTCCTGGGCCCGAGAGGGCCCCTTCTGGGGGCCCTGCGCACGCAAGGAGCCGCACCTGGACGGCGCATCGGCAGAAAAGATTGTAGCAAAAAAGGCCAAGGAAAACTCATGCAGGACACGTGTCCGGGCGGAGTGCAAGCGCGCTGGAACGCAACCACTAGGGGCCCTAGAGGGCCCCTTTTCGGTAGCCTTCGCTGCCCCCCCCCCCTGCATCGCTCCCCATTGCATTACGCGCCCCCCCCCAACTCCCCTCTGCGGTCGGCAGTCATGACGGCCTAAGAAGCCCCCAAGACGGCCCCAAGAGGGCCCCAAGAGGCCTCCAAGACGGCCCAGATGGCCTCCAAGACGGCCAAGATCGCCCAAGATGGCCTCCAAGATGGTCCAAGATGGCCTCCAAGTCCGTCCAAGAGAGGAGGAGATGCCTTCAAGTCCGCCCAAGAAACCTCCAAGACGGCCCAAGACGGCCCAAGAGGTGCCCAAGAGGCCTCCAAGACGGCCCAGGAGGCCTCCGAGAGGTCCTCCAGGAGGGCCCGAAGAAGCAAAAATCTATGATGTTCCTCAGGTTTTTTTTTAGTTTTTCGTATTTGCTCCTTTTCGGCTTTCCGACGACCCAAGACGGCCCAAGAGGCCCCCAAGATCGCCCCAACGGCGCCCAAGAGGCCTCCAAGATGGCCTCAGGACTGCCCAAGAGGCCCCCAAGAGGGCACAAAGACGACCCAAGAGGCCTCCAAGACGCCCAAGATGGCCTCTAAGACAGCCCTGGAGCACCCCAAGAGGGCCCCAAGTCGGCCCAGAGAGGCCCTCCAAACGGCTTCCGACGGCGTCAGACGGGCCAGGAGCCCAAGACGGCCCAAGAGGCCTCCAAGAGGGCCTCCAGGGAGGCCAGAAAAGGCAAAAAAACATGTATGTTCCGTAGGTTGCTGAAAGATTTTGACATGTGCTTCGTTTCGGCCATCCGAAGGTCCAATACGGCCCAAGAGCCCCCAAAGATCGCCCAAAGATCGCCCAAGAGGCCTCCAAGATGGCCTCGGGACTGCCCAAGAGGCCTCCAAGACGGCCCAGGAGGCGTTTAAGACGCCCAAGATGGCCTCCAAGACGGCCCTGGACCATTCCAAGAGGGCCCCAAGTCGGCCCAGAGAGCCCCCCCAAACGCGTCGGACGGGCCAGGAGCCCACCAAAACGACCGAAGATGGCCCTAAGATGGCCCAAGACGGCCCAAGAGGCTTCCAAGAGGGCCTCCAGGAAGGGCCGAAAAGGTCAAAATCAGTGATTTCCCATGAATTATTGAAGGAATATGGCATTTGCTTTTTTTTCTGCCTTCCGACGGCCCGAGACGGCCCAAGTGCACCCAAAGATCGCCCAAGAGGCCCACGACGGCCCCGAGAGGCCCCCAAGACGGCCCAAGAGGCCTCCAAGACGCTCAAGATGGCCTCCAAGACGGCCCAAGAGCCCTCCAAGACGTCCTCCAAGAAGGCCCGAAAGGGTCAAAATGGCCTCCAGACGGCCAAGATGACCTTCAAGATGCCCACGTGTTCCCCGAAGGCTTTCCAAACCGATTCGGGGAACACATGGTCCGATAGCTTGGCAGGTCTGGCCTCAACGTTCGGCCACATGGGCGCTTCCAAAAAGGCAGGGGGCGGAGTGATTCGCCGTAGGCGTCTTAGATAGCTCAACCTGCTCAAGTGCGAGAAACTTCGGGGTAAAATGCGAGAGCACACTACAACAATGCAACAGAACTAGCACTGTAACAGCTCAAACTGGCACGAAATCGGATTTGAGGCGATGCTGGCAATGATGCAGCTGCCGCAGCATGATCAGAATGCTATCAAAGCAAGCAAGCAGTTCCGCGTGCCATGGCGGATAGATTGCTGGAGCCCTCCAGGTGTCCTTCAGCGAGATCACGAGGCACTGAAAGTTCAGCTTCTTCAGGTAGTTCACGAGCGAGCCCGTGTTCTTCCTGTCGAAGGGTGCGTCCACCTCGTCAAGGATCATGAAGGGCGGCGGCTGGTACGAGTGCATGGCAAACAGGAGGGCCATCGAGGCCATTGACCTCTCGCCGCCCGAGAGTAGCTCCATGGGAAAGAAGCGCTTGCCGGGCGGGCAGGCGGTGAACGTGATGCCCCCGTTGTAGGGCTCTTCGGTGTCGTCGAGGTCCAGGTAGGCGGAGCCGCCGTCGAAGCCGTCGTACGAGGTGAGCTCCCTGTGGCGGAAATCGAAAGGTAGGATACTGCTACTCCCTGGACCTCTCCAGGGGAACGTTCTGACCCGAATTTCGAGGCGCATGCAGCCGATGCGACGAGGGCCTCCTGGGAGGCCCAGAAAAGCGAAAACGAGGCACGGGTAGCGGCAGGCATCGGCACCTCTTACTCCCCTGACCTGTAATACGGGTGCACCTTCGTCTCCACGTGCTTGAAGCACTTCATGAACCGGGACACCCGCTCGGTCTTGACCTCCTCGAACCTCCGCGCGAGCTGGTCGGCCTCCCGACTCGACTCGTCTGCCTCGCGGCAGATGTCCCGCAGGCGCCGCTCCTCGCTCGCAAACTCCTCCTGGGCCCGCATGTTGGGCGAGAGGCCCTCGAGCTCCCGCAGGATGTCCACGACCTCCGCCTCGTACTCCGCCTCCACGACCTCGTCCGGCGCACGCCCATCGGGGATGGACAGAGCCCCTTTAGCAAAACGTGATTCAGCGAGCACGGCCTCGGGCCCGAGCCTGGCGGGCGCAGGCCCGGGAACTGACGGCCGCGGCGCCCTCTCGAGAACCGAGAACGGACAATTCACTGATCGACGTGCCAAGGTGGGGGTTCTGTCCACCCCCGAGCCAACATGGAGTAGGGATCCGTGGATCTGGCGCGGGCGCTAGACCCATGGCTCGGGAAAGGCAAGTGCCGCCGCGTTTGGCGACGGGGCGCGCCGATTCGCATGGAAACGGAACCCGTCGCTAATACACGCGCCTTAACCCATGTTAGCGTTCCTTCGACCTTGGTGTCGTGGACCGTCGTCTGCTCTGCCTGCTCCTTCCTGGCGTCGGGCAGGCCGGAAAAGTCCACCCGGATCTTCGAACACGCGTCCTCGAGCTCCTGGAAGGGGAGATCGTCCAGGTCTGCGGCCCGCGAGAGCACGCGCTCCAGCGCGGCGTCGTCCTTGACGAGCAAGGGGACCTCGACGTGCCGGTCGGCGCAGTCGCGGAGGATGGCGCACTCCATGCTCAGCACCACCCGCGCCTTCTCGTGGTGCCCCCTGATCTTCCTCCTGGCCTCGTCGGCCCTCACCTTCTGGCGCTGGAGCTCGGTGCGCTGGACCCTCACCGCCTGGTCGGCCACCTCCCGCGCCCTGTTCGCCTCCTGGACCTTCGAGGCGCCCGCACGCACCCTCTCCTCGAACGCCCTCTGCCGCTCCTCGAGGTCCTGCCGCCTCTTCTGGTTCTCCTCGATCTCGCGGCGGTGCTGCGCGCAGTCCTGCGCCAGGGCCTCCAGCTGGGCCCCGCCGCCGCTGGTCCGCCTCTCCAGGCCCTGCTCCTCGCCCAGCAGCGCGCGCACGGCGTCCTCCAGCTCCTCCAGCTCCAGCCTCAGCTGCCGCCGCTCGCGCTGCTCGCGCATCACCAGCTCGCGCACGTCCTCCACGCCCAGCTCCGCGCTCAGCGCGGCGAAGTGCTGCCTGCCGCTCCGGAGCAGCTCGGCCTCGTGCGCCTCCTTCGCCCCCTGCAGCTCCTCCTGCCGCGCCGCCTCCCGGGACACCCGGGCCGCGATCTCCTCAGCCCGGGCCCCGAGCGCCAGCAGCAGCTTCTGCTCGCTGGCCCGCGCCGCCTCGAGCGCCCCCAGCCGCCCCCTCTTGGCGTCCAGCTGGGCCTGCAGCTCCTCCAGCTCGCGGCGCGCCTGCGCCACCCGCTGCTGGCACCGACCGCTCTCCTTCGGCGGAGCGCAGGAGGGGGCAGGGGGAGGGGGTAGGCTGATAAGAAGGAGGGTGCTTCTTGGAAGGCGCCGGCCTCACATCCATAGACAAGGCCCGCGCCTGATGAGAAGCAGGGGTGCAACTTCTCGGAAGCCTGCCCCTCCACCCAAGCCCCCTCTGCGCGTGGCCGACTCCTGGCGCAGCGTGGCGAGGTCCTTCTCCACCAGCTGCAGCTTCTGCTCCTGGGCCTTGATGTCCTGCAGCAGGTCCGCACCGCCAAACTCCACCGAGCGGCCTCCTGCACCCGCGGCCTGCACGGACATGTCGCCGTTCGGGGATATGACCTCGCCCCCCAGCGTCACGACCCTCGGCTTTAACTGCAGCTTCCCGCGCCGGGCGTCTCGGTACGCGGTCTCCCGGGCCTCCTCCAGGTCGTCTACGATGACCGTGTTGTTGAGGAGGATCTCCATGGCCCTGTCCACCAGCGCGGGGCCTTGGGCCAGCCAGCGCGGGTTGCGATCCAAGAACTTCTCGTTGTGCTGGACGCACGTCGTCGCCAGGCGGCGAGCCTGCCGGTCCTGCGTCAGGAGGTGCAGCGGCCCAACCTCGGGAGGCGACATGCGGTCCAGCGGCAGAAAAGTCTCGGTCGGGATCCGCTTCACCTTCAGGTAGGCCACACACTCTCTGGCAACGGCGGAGGTTGTTACCACGAAGGCCTCGGCCATGCTGCCCAGGGCCCTCTGCAGCGGCAGGCCGAAGCGCTTCTGGCTCGGGAGGACCAGCTCGCTCAAGCG